CAGTCAGTAATAATACCTGGTGCCCCTGATAAAACAAATTTCTCATGTGAGAAGTTACAGAACAGGGTGTTTGTCCTCAAGGAAAATCCAAGTTGCTTTATGTGGCACTACAGTTGCACGAAGGGGAATATCAAGTTGGTTGTCCAGTGATCAGCCCTTCCTCTGGGCTTTACAATATCTTCTGTCCACAGTCCTCAGGACTCCCAGTGCAATTGTATAAGCCTGGTTTGATTTGGCCCAGAACTAGTCTCAATTTGGACTCCTTTGAAACATTTGACCCTTCAGGCATTCATTCCAAAGTATCCCTAACAGTCACAAGGCCAAAGTTAAAGGAATCCAGTGGAAGACACTGCTGGTACCATGTGCCCATCCCCTAGCCACACTCAGTGTGTGTGTTGTGCATGTGGGCTGGGTGAAAGCAAAGCCACCAAGGAAATTTCTGTCCATGTCACCAAGGAAGGTTATTCAAGAAAAATTGGAAATTTTAAGCCAGTGAAACTATGTTATGTGCTAGATGTCCTGGATAAGAAGAAGTTAAATTCTCATTATCAGCTTTAAAAAAATAAATAAATAACTACAAATGGCAAATAAGAACAAAGTCCTAAAAGGATTCTTCAACAAATGGGCACAACCCCACCTTCACTACCTGTACCCTTACGCTGGCCTGTTGTGGGACAAGCTGGCTAAGCCCAGAGTCCAGCAACCTGGGTTGCTTAGCTTTTCCCTAGCAGGCCTAGTGTGCCTGCATGTCTCATGCCACACAGGGTCCCAGACTGTTCCCCACTTTTAGCTACAGATATAGAATTTCAGGAAGGAACAGGGCAACTACATCAAGAAAGCTACCATCTTTCTGAGCGTGAGGGTGAGTTCTTCGCAAGCTCTTGTACACTGTAGATGGACTCTAAACTCTATTTATGTGTACATACTCAAGAATTCTTTTCTGCCCAGGTTCCTTTGCAGATAAAATGGTGAAATTACCACGTAGAGCCACCCTAAACATTAGGATTTCCTGCATTGGCATGCAGTAGGACTTGGACATCACCACTTCCCTGCTCTGTGACATTGCTCTGTGAAGGATAGGCGACTGAGAAGGAAGAAAGCCAAGGTCCCGGTGACATATGAGTACAGTTCTAGCCCTGGACTGCCTGCCTCTGTTACTTTTGGGTGAGAAAAATAAAATAAAATCCCAAGTGGGGTGTGGTGGCACAGGCCTGCCATCCCAGAACTCCGGAGACTGATGCAGGAGGACTGTGCATCCAGCACCTTCTTTTAAAGCCATGCTTAACAAAATGTTCTTTTACTGTCAGCTGACTAGAAACTGGAGACATTTTAGAGCAAGGACAAAGAAGAGGCATTCCCCTCCCACAGCCTCCATCTGATTTCCTCATTGGAAAAATTCTTTCAACTCCACTTTCCTAGACCTTTATTAGACATCTATAAGTATTTGAACTGACTCAGGTCACTTGTTCCCATGGAGCCCACAGTCTGATGTGTAACAGTCATGTCCTCTTAAATTCATAGTTCCAAATGACACCCAGACTGACACTGTGTCCAGACATCCCCAAGTGCCTGCTCTCAGTTCCCCTTTATGGGCAGTTCCCTTGTCCTGAAACCCAAACTCAAGTTACCTGACACACAGTTATTGGCATGTATGTCTCAGATGTGGCTATGGGTTTGGGACTTTTCCCAGTGCATGCTAAAGACTTCAGATGAGCAGATGTCCTCACAGACTTGAGGTACAGGAGCTATCTGCATGATCCTTACTATTTTGTTAGTAAGAGCACAGGCTCTAACTTTCTTCAAATGTCCATATTGATTCCTTTGACATACATACTAGGAGTACATTATAGAAAAGATAGATGCCATTGGCCAGATAAGAACTTGCATCAAGGAACTTGCCAGTAGCTATCTAGGACCATTTGGAGTCTGAAATGTTGAGAAGAGAGTGAAGAACAATTTCAAATCAATGGGGAAAGAATCAACTACTCAACAAACAGCTGATGATAATTGACTAAGATAAATAAAGAATTCAGATCTTAACCTTAACCCCATTTAATGGGTTATGTATTAAAAAGAAATAGAAATAGCTGCCATTTGGGAGTGTAGAGTGTATATATATG